CAGTTCCAAGTGAATCTGATGCCCCCTTCTGACCACCACGGGCATTGCACAACATGGTTGACTTACATTCATGCAGGCATAACTAACACTCATACACACAAAATAAAAAACTTTTTTGAAGCTTTATTTCTGTTCAAGCCACATGAAATAATCAGTTGGTGATAGATCAGGATTAAATGTGAAATATCTAAACTTCTAGAAGAAAATATAGGAGAATATACTTTTATCTTTAGCGCACAGGATATTTTCTTTAAAAATAGAAAGAATACACTAAACTTAAAAATAAATATTAGTAAATGTATCTACAATAAAATTAAGAAGTTCTTTTACTGGGGAAGTCTGGCTCTGTATGTGTTCTGCTGTGTGTGTGTGTATGTGTGTGTGTGTGTTTAAAACTTGGCTGAGTGTTGAGAGGAAAAGTTCTTTTATATCATACAGAAAGAAAATATCAGGGCAAATATCTTTATATCATCACCAATCCTCAGAGAATTAACAACCCAAATGTAGAAAAACTCCTGAAAGCTGTTGAAAAAAAGATGCTATTCTGGAAGCATTATGAATGTCCTTTTTTCCTAATAGAATTCAATTCAAGGCACAGCCTTGCTTCCTTAGACCCTCCTCAAAAATCTCCCAGTTATGCCAATCCTACTGGAAGTCCATCCTAAAATGCTACTGGTTAGTTTTTGTCAACTTGACATGAACTAGAATCACTTGGGAAGAAAAAAACCTCAATTGAGAAATTGTCTCCAGAAAATTGGCCTGTGAACCATTAAGCATTTTCTTAATGGTTAATTGATGAAGTAGGGTTCAGCCCACTCTGGGCAGGGCCATCCCTGGACAGGTGGGCCTTGGCTATATGAGAAAAGAGGATGAGCAAGCCAGAGGATGCAAGCCAGCAAGCAGCCAGCAAGCAGCCTTCCTCTGTTGTTTCTATTTCAGGGCCCGTCTCTAGGTTTCTGCCTTGAGTTCCTGTCTTGCCTTCCTCCAATAATGGTCTGTAAGCTATAAAATTAAAAACCCATTCTTCCTGAAGTTGCTTTTGGTCAGTGTTTTATTTTATTTTATTGGTCTTTTTTTGAGACAGGGTCTCCCTGTAGCCACAGCTGGCCTAGATTCGCTATAGAGACCAGGCTGACCTCAACCTCACAGAGATCCACCTTCCTCTGCCTCCTGAGTGCTGGATTAAAGGCATGTACCACCATGCCTGGTTGGTCAGTGTTTTATTACAGCAATAGAAAGCAAAACAATATGCTTTCTTTCTCCGACAGTGCATGGTTCCCCAAGATATGAATGTTCCCTAGCTGGGAAGAGTAAACTCAACTTCCCTTATATCAGGTTTGTCTGGTGGTTTTCAGCTGGAAGACATTAACAGACTGAGCACAAAGTTATTATCTGCAGATGACAGCAGTCTTTAAACTCTCTGGCTGGGCAATGTTTGGCATAAGTGTGACCCATAATGACTTGAAAAAGTAGAAGAGATGTGGAGTTGAGAGAATATTGCTATGTTGGAGCCAAAGAATTGGCTTAGTGGATAAAGGTATTTGCTGCCAAGCCTGAAAACCTGAGTTTGATCCCTGGGACTCATATAGTGAAAGGAGAGAATGGACTCCTATGAATTGTTCTCTGACTTCCACACATGTATCATGACACATGTATGTCCCTCCCCAAATATAAATAAGTGAAACAAAAAAATTTTTAAAGAGAGTGTAGATGTGATATATAGACAGGACCAGGCACTAGGGGATTGAAGTTGAGTCAGAGAAGTGACATCATGGCAATATTTCTGACTGGCAAAGAGGAAGTCATCACTGTGTCCCCACTTGACTCAATTTCCCTCCAGTCATTGGCATCGTGGAATAAAGAAGAAAATTTACAGAGAATGGGGCCGAGCTGATTTTAGCAAAAGGAAATAAAATAAAGAAGACAAAAAAGAGTGAGGTCTTCATGTCTTGGTGTTCCTAGGGTTTATTGTGTCTTGCTGTTTCCATGCTGGTCAGGAAGAGGGGTATGCTGTCCCCTCTTAAGGGTTAATGAATATATACTTGTTTAAACACATCTCCATATCTATTATCCACAAACCTTATGAAGATATTTTACAGATGAGAAAATGAACTCAGAGAGGTTATTGAGGGCCACTAGGTCAATAAGATGTAGAAGTAATGGCTCAGCTTACCTGTGCCTGGCTTCAAATACTACCTGAATTTGTCCTTTAACCCTGACAGCTTGGATGTGAGCTCCAAGCTGCATGTTCAGAGAAACATGTTACAGGAATCCAAAGAAGCAAGGAGCCAGATGTAAAGAGATATGTCCTCTACAGGGCCAGTTAGAAAGGTACCTGATTCTTCTCTCTCCTTCCTCTTCCAAACAACCCAGAAGGAGCTACTCACAAAGCACAAAGCACTAGAACTAGGGGTGAAGGAAGGTACTATTTAAACTGGTCACTGGGCTTGCATGTCACCAGGCCCCAAAAATAGCAACAGGAGGTGGCTTGCATCCATCCACATCATCCCCATGACTCATGTCGTAGGCTCTTCCTTTGCTTGTGGAAATGAGACAATTGGAGTGCTAACAGGCCAGGTTGCTGGAAATGAACATTGTGACCTCTGGGATCCATCCAGACACATCTATTTGCCTGTTGAGAAGCCTCATTGGCCATCACACTGTGTTTCTCTGAATGCCCTCAGATACTTGGACTGATTAGAAGTTCTAATGTCCTGTAAGAATGGCTCACAGTGAATAGTCCCTCCATCTCCTTCAGTTTTCAGTACTTGGCTCTTTGGAATCTGGGAGAGATGAGAGGCTGTTTCAAAGGCAACTGTAAGCACGGGGTATGTGACTGTGGGTAGGGCCTACTCAGCTGCCATAGACCCTGGGTTCCAACCCTATGTTATGGCACCTCTGTTCCCTGTCTACTTTTCTCAGCTGAGCACAGGGCTAGGGATGAATCTGAATTCCTTTCACACTGGCCATTTTTTTTTTTTTCTTAGAAGGCAATGTATACCATCTTTCTAGACTATAGATTCTGAATAAAATTTAAAAGGCATTAGAATACTAGCAGATAAGTTGATTAGTCCTCCCAAGAAGATGCAAAAGAGGCCAAAAAAGGGAGCTCACAGCAACATCACAGCTCCATTCTCGGGGAGTTCAGTCACTCCACCAGATTCTCACTGAGGATCCCAGGGTGCCCTTAGGTGCATTAAATCAGCCTACACCAACATTTTCTGTTTCTTCCTTGGATGATTTCAATATGCATATAAATGCTTCTTGTCAGTATGACCTCACACGTTCTTGCACCTAGAAACCCTGTGCTCTGACCCGACCCCAGAAGTCAAAAGCTTGGTGAGGTGAACAGCCTTAGCAGTTCCCCTTTTTGTTTCTGTCTGCTTAGTTTTGTTGTTGTTATTTTTTTTGAGTCAGGGTCCATTAGAATTCATGGTCCTCTGAGTGCTGTGATTATAGGCATGTGCCACCATACCAGCTGTGATTGCATTCCTGAAACACCATGTTTCACTCTCGGACCCCAATTCTTATCCCTCCAACTCAATCACTCTATTATATTCTCCCCATCTATTGTATATTCCATGGAACCCCTCGGTTTGTAGACTGGCGTTTTCTTTCATTGATTCTGTCTCAATCAGTCTCCGTCTCAGTTTCAAGGAAAAGAGGTGAAGCAGGGAAGGAAGGTGGACTTCTACTTGGTCGGTGTTAGGACTGTGGCTGGCCCTGAAGCTGGATAGGGAAGGAAAGGAAGGGAGTGGGGTAGGCTGGGTTAGGGGCCTGAAGAGAAGCTGGCCAGAACAATTAAGAACAAAGGCTGAATACTCTTCCGGTGAGGCCCAGAGCCTGGCCTTGGCCTTCCCATGAACAGCTCCAGGAAATGGCTGAGATTCCAGATTTGGAAGGAAGAAACCTGTAAACAGGAGCTAGGCTCTGAGAGAAGAGAGCAGTCTCTCTGTATTGTGGGGAGGGCACAAAGCTGTCAGCTGGGTGCCAGCAAAGTTTGTTTACTGTGTACACAAAGAAGTGTCAGGACTGGAAAGACTCTGGGAAGGCCCTTCATTCCAACCACCTTTCCGAGGCCTGAAACTCAACCTCACTGAGGATGATTCAAATAGTTTCAGTGATGGGATGTTCATAAAAATGAGCAAATAGAATTGACACTTGCCAAGCACTAAGTTGTTTTATATTTAATCTTATTCCAGTTTTATTCTAGCTTTCAAGGTAGGATCTGTTATTAATTATTTGCAGATAAGAATGAAAGAGAAGGACTCTGCCCAAGACCTCACAGACCTCATTTCCCAGTCTCTGGGTAAAATGTAGACACACTCTGTGAGAACTACCCAGCTTGTCCACAAAGTTCTGAGTTATTCTTATTTTCTATTTTCCTGGTCATCTGCCCCTGGGGAAATGGACCACGGATCCACATTTGCTCCCCTCCACTTTGCTTCCTCAGCTGCAGCCACAATGGGCTCTGTCTTCACTCCTTACTCCTGTGTCCTGAGGCCCCACCTAAGAGAAATGGATAAAGACTAAGATTTGTGGGGTTGAAGGAGTGAGTATGAAGATCTCATTTAAGAAGCCTTAACTTAGGACTGGCAAGATGGCTCAGAGGTTAAAAGCACTTGCTGTTTTTCCAAAGGACCCAAGTTCAGCTCTCAGCACCCATATGGTATCTAACAACAGTTTGTAACTCCATTTCCAGGGGATCCGACACCCTCTTCTGCAGGTACTGCATGCACATGGTGCACTTACATATGGTCTGGCAAAACATTCATACATAGAGAAACCTTAATTTAGACATGAGATAAACCTTAGGGCTGAAGTTAGGGTGACGTGTTATGGCTCAAGTGTAGAAGCCAGTTTCTGGCTTCTGGTCTCCTCCCAGTTCTCTAAGGCACCGAGGGCCAGGCAGGAAGCATCGGTTTCCTCAAAGCCGCTTCCCTACTGGGACAGAGTCTCAGTCACAAACAACTACCACCACCCCACCCCTGCCCCTCCTTCCCTGGCCACTGTAGGCTCAGAACAGCAGGACAAAGTGTGTGGGACAAGGGCAGGGGCCTGAGTGCAGCCATGGGCTCTGGAGGAGTGGGCCTCTTGAGCCGATGTCCCCTGCCTCCTCTCCTGCTTCTGTTCATCATAGGTGAGTGGGGCCCTCCCTCCCTCTCTTAGCCCTCACTCCTGGATCCACTGCCTGCATCCAGGGCCCAGATCCACAGCCAAGCAGGGCAAAAGAGGCTGTCTGGCTCCTTGCTTCTCATTAACAGTGGGAGTACAGCGATGATAATGATGATGATGGTGAGGTGTGGGTGTGAGTGTGGGTGTGGGTGTGTGAGTGTGCGTGTGAGACAGAGTGGTGCATGCTGGGCTTCTGCACTCCCAGGTATCTTCTCATTTGGAAATAGACCTTCAGTAGTAGTTCAGGCCACCTGGCACACTCTTACACAAGCCACAGAAGGGGTGTGATGCAGGGAACTAGGGGCCTTGTTGGTAGTCAGGCTATGCCTCTCTTTCCCTCCCAGGATGCAAGGCTCAGGATTCTCCACCCCAGATCCTAGTTCACCCGGAGGACCAGCTACTTCAAGGCTCCCAGCCAGTCAAGATGAGCTGCGGAGCCTCAGGCCAGCCACCTCCCACAATCCGCTGGCTACTGAATGGGCAGCCCCTGAGCAAGGCAACCCCAGACCTCCACTACCTCCTGCCTAATGGAACCCTTCTACTACAGTGGCCCCCTGCCAAGGGACTGCCCCAAGATGACCAGGACATCCTGTCAACGTTCTTGGGTGTCTACACATGTGAGGCCAGCAACCGGCTGGGCACAGCAGTGAGCCGGGGTGCTAGGCTATCTGTGCCTGGTGAGGCTTGGGAGGGGAGGCCCAGGGTGAGGCAAAGCTGGATTGAGATGCCTGTGTCCAGGGAAATGTGAGGGTATGAGGGAAGGTCTAGGTCTGGGGTCTTGGAAAGAGAGCTAGATTAGGCTGAACAGAGGAGGCCCAGGAAGTGGGTTCAGCAGGACGGAGTAAGCATGTGAGGAGATGGCAAGTCAGGACTCTGGGGAGGGGAGGCCAGGACCATGCTTCCTGCTGACCCACTGTCCTAACAGTCCTCCAGGAGGATTTCCAGATCCAGCCTCAAGACACAGTGGTCGTGGTGGGCAACCAGTTGGTTCTTGAGTGTACGCCACCCTGGGGCTCCCCGAAGCCCTCAGTCTCATGGTGGAAAGATGGGAAACCCCTGGCCCTCCAGCCAGGGCGACACACAGTGAGTGGAGACCCTTCCCCTGGAACTCCTTTCCCCACACTTCATCTTGTCCTGGGCACACCAAAGGACTGACCTGCTTGCCGGTGGCATGTCCCCTGGCAGATTTGAGGAAGGGAAGACGGGGAGGCCTCAAGCTGCCCTCCAGCCTCTAAACTTCTCCTCACATTAAGACTTCACAGAGTATCTGAACCTGACAGGTGTCCGGGGATTCCCTGCTGGTGGCAAAAGCAGAGAAGAGCGACATGGGGATGTATAAGTGTATAGCCACCAACCATGCAGGGCAACGGGAGAGCCGAGCAGCCAGGGTATCTGTCCAGGGTAAGGACAGGGGCCAGCTAAAATCCAGCATAAGGGGCTGGGGAGATAACTCAGTGGGTAAAGTGCTTGCTGCACAAGCATGAGGACTTGAGTTCAGATATCCAGCACCTACATAAAAGTCGGGCATGATGGTATGTGTCTATAATCCCAGCACTGGGGTGTGGTGAAGACAGGTGGATCTTAGGAGCTAGTCAGCCAGCCTAGCTACTCAATGAGTTCTAGGTTCAGTGAAGGCCTTATCTCAAAAAAAATAAGGTGGAGGGGACCAGAAAGATGGCTCAGTGGTTAAGAGCACCAGCTGCTCTTGCAGAGGACCTGGGTTCTATTCCCAGCACCCACATGGTGGATAATATCCGTCTATAACTCCAGTTCCAAGGGAATCTGACACCCTCTTCTGATTTCCATGGGCACTGCATGACATGGGTGCATTTACATGCATGCAGGCAACACACTCATATACATAAAATAAAAATAGTAAAATATTTTTAAAAAATAAGGTAGAGAGGAATAAAGGCAGATATCTAATGTCAACTTCTGGCTTTCACGTGCATGCTCATAAATACGTACACATATGAAAATGTGCATACACATACGCCCACACACAAATAAATGAAGTCTTAGGTAAGGTGGGGGCTCCAGCTAGGGTGTATGGCTAGGTATGGAGTAGGGTTTGGGTATACAGGGATCAACCTGAGATTGGGGTTCAAGTGGTAAAGAGCCCCCTGTATAGAGCTAGAATGGAAACAGAAGTACTCTAGACCTGGAAACTGGGAGACTAGGTTTCTCTATGAGGAGAGGATGCCCAACTCTTCCATCCTTTCCCTCTGGCTTCATCCTAGTCCTATGCTCCCCACAGAGTTGAAGGACCACAAGGAACACCTGGAACTTCTGGCTATTCGCATTCAGCTGGAAAATGTGACCCTGCTAAATTCAGAGTTGGTGAAAGGCTCCAAGCCTGGGCCAGCTGTGTGGCTCAGCTGGAAGGTGAGGTGAAGGACCTGGAGGTGAGAGCCCATCTAGAGGACAAGGAGGCTGTCAGGAGCTCCCCAGTCCCTTACCCTTCCTCCTACTCCTTCCCAGGTAAGTGGCCCTGCTGCACCTGCTGAGTCCTACACAGCCTTGTTCAGAGCCCAGAGGGTCCCTGGGGACCAGAAAGCTCCATGGTCAGAGGTGGGGCTGGCTGGCTTGCAGTGTGCAGAGCTTGGGGGCCTCCACTGGGGCCAAGACTACGAGTTCAAAGTGAGACCATCCTCTGGCCGGGCTCGAGGACCTGAAAGCAATGTGTTGCTCCTGAGGCTGCCAGAACAAGGTCAGGAGTGGCCCCTCTCCAGGCTTCTGATTGACTCTCCTTAACTACCCCAGTCCAGTCTGGGTGTGGGACCTCCTATTTGCACAGTATCTTCTTCCTGGTAGGCAAACAGAGCTGTAAGAAGCATCTCTTCTCCTTGTGGGACTCTGACTCTGTGTCTCTCATTACTGCTCTTTACCCTAGCACAGTCCTCTCCTTCAGCACTCCTAACAGCCTCTTTCTTTTCTCCAGTGCCCAGTGCCCCACCTCAGGAAGTAACCCTAAAATCTGGGAACAGCAGTGTCCTTGTGAGCTGGGCCCCACCACCTGCTGAAAACCATAATGGTGTCATTCGTGGCTACCAGGTACTCCCTACAAGCTGACATAGCCTTTCCTAATGAGACCAGCACACTCCTCTCCCCTGGAGTCCCACATACCCTTGCTCTGACCACTGAGAACCAGCACCTGGGCAGATAAGTGCAAAGGCCTACTTAGTCTGCCAGACCTTGCCAAGCGTTTATAAACTGCTGTGTTGTTTCATCTCACAGACAGCCTTAGGTTACGCTTTTCACCTTACACTTGGAAAGCAAGATTACGATCACAGACCTAAGAAACAGACCAGGAATCAAAACGGACTAGGTCAAATTGAAGCCTGTAAGACTGGAGTGCTCAAAGTGTGCCTCTTGGGCTGGCAGCAGATGCATCACCCAGGAACTTGTTAGGAAAACAGACTCTCAGTTCCTATCCTAGTCTTCCTGAATCAGAAACTCAAGACTGGGCTTGAGGAACTGGAAAGATGGCTCAGCAGTTAAGAGCACTGGCTGCTCTCGCAGAGGACCTGGGTTCAGTTCCCAATACCCACATGGCAGCTAACCAACCATCCTTACTCCAGTTCCAGGGGATCCAATGCCCTCTTCTGACCTCCATGGGCACTGCATGACATAGTTGCCCTAACATACATGCAGATAATACACTCATGCACATAAAATAAAAATAAATAAATAAAATAAAGACTGGGTTTGGCCTTCGTACTTTAGCAAATTTCTAGGTGATTCAAAAGCACTTTTAACCACATTCCTGGACACATTTTAGCAGATTACTTTTGCCCCTCTGTCAGTCTAGAGAGAAGTGTCTCTCACTCGGTAGAGGAAGGGAACTAGGGACCATGGTGCTATTGGGAGCTGGGAGAAGACAGTCCCCAGGAAGATGGCAGAGCAGGTTGACTGCATGCCCATCTGCAGATGAAGGGCTCTGCTGCTGGTTTGGTACTGGGGGGCAGCTGCTCACCTTTGCTTGTGCCCCAGGTCTGGAGCCTGAGCAACACCTCACTGGCCTCTGCCAACTGGACTGTAGCAGGCGAGCAGACCCAGCTGGAGATCACCACACAAATGCCAGGCTCCTACTGTGTGCAAGTGGCTGCAGTCACTGGGGCTGGAGCTGGAGAGCCCAGTAGCCCTGTCTGCCTTCTTTTAGGTAAGGGACTGTGTCCACAAGCCCTACCCATACCCTTCAGCCCCCATGCCACCCTCCTGTCCCCTTGTTCCTGTCTCACACGTCCAGCTCCTCTCTCTCATTGCTGGTCCCTTATTACCCCACTTCCCTTCCCTGTGAACTCCACATCTCATACAGAGCAGACCATGGAGCAATCTGCCCGAGATCCCAGTAAGCCTGCTCCCTGGACCCTGGAGCAGCTCAGGACCACCTTGAGCCGTCCAGAAATCATTGCCAGTGGTGTTGTTCTGCTCTGGCTGTTGTTGCTGGGCATTGCTGTGTGTATCTACCGCCGGCGCCGAGCAGGTTTGCACCTGGGCCCAGGTAAGAGGGGAGAACCCAGATGCACAGATCTCTTTGGGTTCAATCAGAATATCACAGGGGCAGATGCTGGGCTCTGCATTTAGCCTTTCTCTCACTTTCTCCCAGGTCTGTACAGATATACCAGTGAGGATGCCATCCTAAAACACAGGTGAGAGGCTAAAAGGGAGGAGTGTAAGGTACAGGAAAGTCAAAGGGGTCAACAGTGAGTGGAGGTGGGGCAAGGAATTGGATGAAGTTCTGGTCTACCCTTCTGCCAGCCAGTTTAGGGTCTTAGTACTGAAATTCTCCTGGACTCTAAGCGATAGTGAATGTCTTTCCCTGTAGCCCACTCAACAGCTGAGCAATCTGAATCATAAACATAAATCCTCAAAAACAAATGATTTTGCCAAAGTCTTCACAGCTGGCCTCCTGACTCCTATCCGGTGTTCTTGTCACCTACCCCTGCTAAGGGACTAGTAGCTGGCAGGAGAGAACCTGCTCTGTGGTCCTGTTTCCTCATATACCCAGTGTCTACTTAACTGAACTCTGTGTATTGTCTATTGAGCCACCTGTCTTGCACATGATCTACCACTTCCAGCAGAGGGTGTTCAGCCCCTAGGTCATAGATTCTTATACATTATTCAAAACTAGGGCCAGGCAGTAGGTACTTGTGCTCCAACTGCTTGGCTACCAGGCTAGTCTGTGGTTGTGAGACAAGATTCTGAGAAAGAATATATTTTTCTCCTCATCCCCCATTGGCTGAGTATTACACTTAAAGATCATTTCCTCTCTTTGCTGACTTGGTAGTCTTTGCATTTCAGGTCTGAATTACTCATCAGGAGTTTACTAAGCACCTATTGTGCTGATACTAGATGTATCAGGCCTTAGGCTGCCAGTTTCCTTTCAGATTCTCACCCAGAGCAGTTCCAAGCTGCCTGGCATGTTCCTGAGTTTTTCTGGCTTCTCTGGCTTCTGTCTTTCAACTACCCACTGGGCTTTGTCTGCTCTGTTCCCTGGGACCGTCTCCTTTGTTCTTGAGGGAAATTCTACCCTGATTGGTTCATTTGTTCCTTTGGAATAGACTCCATCCATGAGAAACTTGATCAGGAAGAGACAGGCAGGAGAACAACCTGGAGGTGCCAGTTCAGTAGGTATCACATACACAGAAGGGGCCAGGGCAGAGAACACAGATGAAAGAGAAGCCCACATTTACCCTGACCAGAAGAATGGGAAGAGGGAGAAACAGCCTGCTATATTCACAGAAAAGCATAAGCCATTTGGTCTGGTGAGGGGATAAGGTAGGAAATGACTTAGAACAAAGGATAAGTTGGGAAGCTGGAAGCTAGATCAAAGAAGATCCCTCTAGCCATGCTAGGCACCTTAGCTCCATCTTGGTAAATAGGGAGCACTTAAAGGCTCTAGGCAGAGAAGTACCTTGGTCAAATCACTGTTCTTCAAGGATTATTCAGGCAGTTGGACACCAACATACAACAGAGCAAACTTCTGCTCTGCCAGTTAAGTGACTTCACATTTCCTCAGCTAAATTCACATCAGTCTTACACAGAGTCTGTTTGTTGCCATTTAATATTTGAGGAAATGGGGACTCAGAGACACTAATAGGTTTAGTTTGCTTGCTGGGATAATACAGCTTAACTGTGGCAAGTAGGAATTTTCCATTCAGGTTTGTCTGGCTCCATATTTGTTCTTTGCCCCTCACCATCCATAACTGTCCTTCCTAATACCTCCCAGCTGTAGGCAGCTTGGCTTCCTGATCCCAAGATAGAAAGGTATGCTGAGTTGGGGGTACCAGGTCAGAGGTCCAAAGGGGTCTGTGAAGTGCTGACAAACAGCAGTAAGGATAAAAGGAAAGGCGTCCTCCTCTACTGCTGCTGCCCTCTGAGGTCTTAGCTAATTTGGTTCTCGTTTCTCTCTGTTTCCTTCTTCCTCACCCTGCTACCCCTGCCACTGCTCCAGGATGGATCACAGCGACTCCCCCTGGCTGGCAGACACCTGGCGTTCTGCCTCGGGCTCTCGAGACCTCAGCAGCAGCAGCAGCCTCAGCAGTCGGCTGGGAGTGGACCCCAGGGACCAATTAGACTGCAGGCGCTCCTGTGAGCATGCCCCGTGAGGCAGGGACTGCAGGGATGGAGAGTGCAGAGGTAGTGTGCAATGTGCTCACCATAACTCCTCTTGTCATTTTTATGACAGTGATCTCCTGGGACCCCCGGAGCCCTGGTGTGCCTCTGCTTCCAGACACCAGCACTTTTTACGGCTCCCTCATCGCAGAGCTTCCCTCCAGCCCTCTAGTCCGGCCAAGCCCCCAGGCACCAGTTGCCAGGCGCCTCCCGTCCCAACTGGCTGGGACCTCTAGCCCCTGGCCCAGCTCAGATAGTCTCTGCAGCCGCAGGGGACTCTCTTCCCCACGCTTGTCTCTGGCCCCTGCAGAAGCTTGGAAAGCCAAAAAGAAGCAGGGTAAGGATAAGGAGATGAGCCATCTTTTGGGGCAGAGGGTGGTGGGACCAGGATCGAAGCTGGGTGTGGGCTGAGGCCTCCCGGCTCCCATTCTCTTCCAGTGGACACAGGCCACTTTCCTCATCCCTACAGCATTCAGCTTTTCTTTGCAGTAGTGGGCCTTGGGTGTGCAGTCAGTTTGACTTAGAGAATATTTAACAAGCACCACTACCTGCCAGGCAGAGTAGATGCAAGAGACACCAGGCACAGCCCTTGCCCTCTTAACGATCCAGTAAGCTGACTGGCACACAACTATTGCCAGAGATTGGCCCAAGATGACCGGTGCTGAAGAAAGCCTTAGGTTTTCAGGAACCCATGTCCCACATGTTATACACAGATTTCCTTGGGCACCGACTGCCAGCACACTTTTCAGAGAGGAATATGTGTAATTGGCCCTCTGTATCCACAGATTTTGCATTCACAAACTCACTTCAGGAAGGAAAATATTTTAATAATTGCATCTGCCTTTCTTATTATTATCCCCTAAACAATACAGCACAAGAACTATTTATAGAGCATGTACAGTGTTATATAAGTAACTGAGATATGGTTTAAAATACACTGTAGGATAGAGTGGGCCATGTGCAAATATTAAATTTTATATAAGAAAGTTGAGCATCTCTGGAATCAGGTGCCTTCAAGGGATCCTGGACCCAGCCCCTTATAATATCAAGAAATGTGTTGGGCATGGTGGTACATATCTTTAATCCCAGCACTTGGGAGGCAGAGGCAGGCGGATCTCTGTGAGTCCAAGGCCAGCCTGGTTTACATAGTGAGTTCCAGGCCAGCCAGGGCTACAGGAAGGCCGTCTCAAAATAATAAAATAATAATAATAATAATAATAATAATATCAAGAGATGGCCCTAGTTCTTTCTGCACAGATTTTTTCTCATCAATTCCAGCTGCCTGTTTTCACTTTTCTACAGAGAAACAATTATAACCTCCGTTTCTCGAGCAACTTCTCTGTGCTAGCTGCCTTACTTAGCCCACTGTCTCATTTCTTCACGATGGACTGGGTGGACATTATTTCTCTAATTTTTCAGACAGGAAAAGAACATCAGAATAACTGGGTAACTTGTTCAAAATCCCAAAATAAGATGCAGAGTTCAACTTTGAAGCCAAGATTGTCTGCCTCCAAAGGCTAGTAAATCCCCTAGGACTCCCTTAAGAAATTCTCTGCTCCCAAAGACTGTTTTCCTTGCTGGTGGCCTGCAGATCACAGCCCTGCACTCTCCCTGCCATCTTTATAAGATCATCTGAACTGATTAGAAAGGCTTATCAAATGCCTTTACAGTCAATTGTTTATAAGTAGATAGAATTCAACTTTATTTAGAAAACAAAGATAGATGAAGAGTAATTTTTTTGTCTTTTTTGAGGCAGGGTCTCCTTGTAGCCCCAGCTGTCCTAGAACTCACTATGTAGACCAGGCTGGCCTTGAACTCACAAAGATCCACCTGCCTCTGCCTCCCAAGTGCTGGGATTAAAGGCGTGTGCCACCACACCCGGCCCAATATGGAAAATTTTATATGGCTCTAAATAGTCACAAAGATGACATTCTTTTCCATTTTGCCTCAGAGCTATTGCATTATAAATCCTGGGTAGTAATGAAATGCCAGCTGAAAATAGTTCAAATAAGTCTCATGTAGAGGACTGGGAGTGTAAGCTCAGTGGTAGAGCTGTAGTCAGCATGCATAAGGCTCTGGCTTCAATCCTCAAAACAAAAACAGAAAAACAGTCTTCCTGTGTGGAGAACCACACTGCCTTTAATGGAATATTGTTAGTACAATCCCTCTTGGAACATTAATGCTACTAGAAAAAAGCAAGTTATTTTTTATAGCCATTTCTGTCTTCTTCCCTCCCTCCCCCCTCCCTCTTCTCTGCCTCTCTCTTCCCTCCCTTTCTTCTTTCTTTTATTTTTTTCCCCTTGATGCTAGAGACTGGACCTGGGGCTTCACACATACTAAGCATGTGCCCAACAACTGAGCTACATCTTTGTTCCTATGGGCATTTCTTAGGAAGCTTCCAATTCTGCCTTGAGGCTTCCTAGCCTGTGGTTTAGGTCTGGGGCTTGCTAGCCTGTGGTTTAGTTCTTCACTTATCCCTGTTTCACCCCACCCCAACCCTCATCTTCCCTTCTCCCCAAGTGCAAAACATTCAAGTTTCTTAGGGTAGAGCTAACCATATGAGATAGTCCCAATGTGAGAAATGAAAATTCTTAATAGATTCTCTCCAACAAGAGGAATATTTGTCTTCATAGAGCCAAAATTGATGAGGAAAGCAGCACTGTGAGGAAACAGAGATCAGGAAAACTGAAATTTATGTGGTCAAGGAAAATAAAATTGGCTTAGACAGTATCTATCTGAGGCCAGGAACTTTGCAATCTATTTTTATTGAATCCTCAAAATCATTCTTTGGCATGGATGTTTACAAATGAGCCTGAGGTTCAGAGGGTTGATGGATTTTGCTGGTCACACAGCTGGTCCAGGCTAAAGGACAGCTTTTTTGACTCCAAGGCCAGTGTTCCTATCAAGGCTGCCTGGAGGAAGATGGGAGCAGGAAGAGATTGTTTATTCCTTCTTTCTGTAGGTTCAAGGCCCCAGGAACTGAGTGAATAACAAGGCTAAAGACAGAACCTATGATTAGGGTCTGAAAAGCTGCTTTTCCCTTGCAGAGCTACACCAAGCCAACAGCTCCCCACTACTCCGGGGCAGCCACCCCATGGAACTCTGGCCCTGGGAGTTTGGAAACAGAGCTTCCAAGAACCTTTACCAAAGTCCGGGTAAGTGAGGGGTGAGGCAGGCTTTCAAGCCCACTAACTCTTCCCTCCTTTCTTCCCTGTTGGAGAACATGGTTAAGTGGATTGCAGATTGGATTCTCAACACATTGGAATCTGGACTGTTCTCAGGCTCAAACTCTTGTTCCCCAGGAGCAGCACCCCGTGCCCTGGTTGCCTGGCGAGCCCTGGGACCACAGCTCCAACGCAACTCCCATGAGCTGGCTACTCATCCGCTCCCTCCAACACCCCGTTCTCTTTGTGGAACCCCTACTCAGAGTCAACAGACCCAGTAAGAAGGCACGGGTCAAGAAGCAGGGACACTAAGGACATAGGAAGTGTTACTGGGATTAGACCCGGACTGGGAGGGGTGGAGCTGAAGAACACCACTAACCAATCTGCCCTCCTTACCTTTCTCAACCAGGTGTGTGGATAAGCCCCAAGCTCCCTCCTCTGACCCACTGCCAGCCACTCCCCTCCCCATCCTTACTCCTTCCAGGGCCCCCAGCCCCCAGGCCTCTTCTCTCTCTGGTCCCAGCCTAGCTTCCAGCCACCTGTCCAGCTCCTCACTGTCGTCCCTAGAGGAGGACCAGGACAGTGTGCTGACTCCTGAAGAGGTGGCCCTGTGCCTGGAGCTCAGTGAGGGTGAAGAGACACCCAGGTGAGCAGCCTGGAAGAGCTGAAGGCACTCCAGCCGTGAATGATACGGAGTATGCGTAATTGCCATGTTCCTGCTACCACACCCTAACCCCTTTACCATCTCCCATTCTTGCCTTTTTGTAGGAACAGTGTCTCTCCTCTGCCAAGGGCTCCTTCACCACCAACAACCTATGGCTACATCAGCATCCCAACAGCTTCAGGGCTAGCCAATATGGGCAGGGCTGGTAGAGGGGCAGAATCAGAGGTCGGGAGCCTACTGTGCCCACCTCGGACTTGCCCCACTCCCACCCCCAGTGAGGGCTCCCTGGCTAATGGTTGGGGCTCAGCTTCTGAAGACAACGCGCCCAGCGCCAGGGCCAGCCTGGTCAGCTCCTCAGATGGCTCCTTCCTCGCTGATGCCCACTTTGCCCGTGCCCTGGCAGTAGCTGTGGATAGCTTTGGTTTTGGTCTGGAGTCCAGAGAGACTGATTGTGTCTTCATTGGTATGTGGGATCACCCCTACCTTTCTTCCTTAGAGTGGATACAGCTCTCCTTCTCCCCAAAATCTTGCTCAAGAGGCAAGAGTTCCTAGTCATTGTCACCCTTGTTGTTATTGAAACAATTAGTTTTAGGCAGTATGGTGACACATGCCTGTAACCTCAGTATTTGGGCAGCTGCGGCAGGAGGATCAGGCATTCCAGGTGAGCCTGAGCTATAGAGTGAAACTTTGTTTCAGAAAAAAAAGGAGGTGATGGTGATTTTTTTTTTTTTAATTGAATGATTGCTATATCCCAGGTACTGGGAGACGTGCTTTATATGCATTAATATTAGCAACTCCATGAGGAATATTCATTACCCGTGTTTTCCAAATCAGGAAACCTAAGTCAGACAGATGTATTAACTTGTTCAAGATCCCTCATAGAACAAGGACAGACTGTCCAGTTCTAAAGCCTAGAGACAGCCAGTTGAGTGACCCTTACCTCTAGGACTGCCATTTCCCACATGTGGGTCTCAGGAAGGGCTGCTCCACAGCCACTCTCTGTTTTCCGTGTTTCATATATCTCTTCTCTCCTGCTGTGCTTCCAAGCCTCATGATTGCCAGTCCATGACTGAGGCTAAGAAGCATCTGAGCTCATTGTTTCTGTGTCAGCAGAAGGTAATTTGTGGCTCATTAGTCCCTTGAAAGTTTACTTCCTATGTACGCTGCAGATCCCCCATGCCCTACCTTTGGACCCTAAGAAAATTGACAAGGCTTGTAGCATATGACAGGGCAAAGATTATTCAGGCTAAAAGTGCCCGTAATGCAGGAAGGAGGCTACCTAAAGGATAGTGAAGGGAGAGTGTGCAGAGCCAGAACTGGGCTGTGAGGAAACAACTCAAACTACTCTCTGAAGAAACGCATGGGTCAGGCCCAGGGGGTACAACCACTGGAACTGATGGACTGAGTTAAGCTAGGTTATGTTTAAGGCAGGATGTATACCCTAAACCAGTCCTATGCTTCCCACCCTAAGCTGGTCCTTAGAGACTAAAAGTTGGGCCCTCTGCTGACCTATCTCCCCTCCCTGTCAGATGCCTCATCACCTCCCTCCCCTCGGGATGACCTCCTCCTGACTCGAAGCTTCTCTCTGCCTCTGTGGGAGTGGAGACCAGAGTGGCTGGAAGATGCTGAAATTAGTCACACTCAGCACTTAGGTAGGGGGCTGCCGCCCTGGCCCCCTGACTCTAAGATCTCCTTACAGCAAAATCAGCTCAGCCATCCTGTGCCCAAGGCTGCTGGTGAGTATCGGTCTGCTTGGCTAACATAGTGATCTTGACTAGGATTATCTGGGAAAAGCCAAAAGGGATCCTGGGGCCTAGTAGGAGAGAGGAGCAGGTGATAAGTAACTCCACTCCCCTTCAACTTCCAGATTCTTCCTGAACTATCCCTGAGATGGCCAGAAGAGCATGCAGACCACTATCCTGTCTGCCCACAAGACTTGCCTGTGGTCTTTAGATCTTGGCCTATGCTTCTTTGCAATAGAGGTCCACCTTTGTGCTGGGCTCCTGGAGAGTTCTTCTCCTGGGATTGTTAAACAAATGAAAGCAAACCAAAATAAGATCTAAGCAGACCTGGATCCTCCTGGGAACAAGAGAACATCTTCATCTGTACCAGACTCTCTCTCCTCTGTTCCAGCCCCTTACTACCCCGTACAATCAGAGCCTTTGGCCTAAGCATGCCTCCTGCTATCTCTACCTGTGTGGATTACGGGAAGCCAATAGTATCTTCTTCATGGAGGACAGGAATGGTTGGTGCAGAGGGCCATGGCAGAAGGTGCTTAGAAGACCTCTCTCAATCCTACCTGGGCCCCTCCCCTAGAGGCCAGCTCAGGCCTCTCCCCAGCCACGCCATGCAAGGAAAACAAAGAAGACTATCTATGCAATGGACCCTACCTAGTGCCACAGCCAAGAGTTCAAAGTTAGGTCAATGAAGGAGGCTGAAGAAAAAGAGAACATGGGAGCAAGGCATCATCCTCATGTCATTGTCACTGTGAGCTTAAGGAACCTGATTCTATAAAACTGTAGAACTTACAGTAGTAAGTAATACTGTAGAATTCTATAAAGACTTGAGTCCTGTGACATCGTTCTTTGGGCTTTGTTTTGGTAACAGCACCTGCAGAGGTGTAAGAATTACCTGAATTAGGGAATGAATCAAGCATTCCTTGTTTCTAAATCCTCATTTCTGGTCTACAATTGAAGGGGGAATGAGGTGCATCCACCAGCATTCAAGCAGAAGGTAGTTAAAGGCCAAGTGGGAGAGCTTCAGGGTCTGTGAATCTTGGGAAGCCAAATCCTGTTTCCTGCAGTCCCAGCCCTGCTCCCTAGAGACCAGTCCCAGATGAGTTCTTTAAAATAAATGAAGTAGCTCAATTCCACAAAAGGTAGAACCACCTAGTAAACACTTTTCAGACAAGACTACAGAACAGAGACAGACATTGGTGCAGGAATTTTGAGTCCTGAACCACTGAAAGCCACTGAAAGGCAGGCAGACCCAAATCTCCTATACATGGAGGGAAAGGTTCTGGGCAGAACTTGCAGGTTTATGCTGTGATACAGAGTATGATCAGAACCAAGGAAGATGGGGGGAGGGTTGTGATTCAGTAGCCTCAAGTCCCCCAAACCCAGCAGCTCTATCTGGAGACCACTTGAGTTAGGAAGCCAAACAGTGTGACCAAGTTTCCTGACCTGTGCTTAGCAGGCCAGTTTGGGCTGATTTGCATGATCTCAAGAGGAGAAATGGTGGGGGGGGGTTCCCCAGGATACATATCCGTTCTATTTGTTTTTTCTTTTTTGACTTTTGTTTTTCTTTTAACTTTCTGAAAAAATTCCTTATGAAAACATTCCAACTCTTTTTGCTACACTGAAGGTGAAAGGGGGATTTGCACACACACACAGGTCAAAGTAGAAGGCAAGGTCAGGGTCAGGACTAAGAGGGTCCAGGCTAGTCATAGAGTTGAAGCCTTAAACTTTCTATGTAGCCAAGGTTGGCCTTAAATGCCTTCCTGCCTCCACCTCCCAAGTGCTGAGATCATAGGCAAGTGTCACCATACTGAGCTTTCTTTGTGTTTTTAAAACTTATTGTTTACTATAAGGCATGTGTTCCTTTACAGAAGAACAGATAGGCCCCAGAAGAGGGCATTAAAGAAAAGTTCAGCTTGACCTTCTGAAGGTGGGGCAAGTGTCTACTTGTTGGTTATGTGAAAACTCCTTCGAATTGTAACATGGTATTGTGGTTTGAATATGAAATGTTCCTCCAAGAGGCCCATGTGTTTGAGTCTTATACCCCAACTGATGGTCCTATTGAGAGGTAACTGCATCATGAAGGCACTAGCTGCATCAATGGGCTTCTAACAGGTAAGGTATAATTGAAGGAAGTAAGTCACTAGGAGCATGTCTTTAAAGGTACATTTTGCCCTGGCCACTTCCTATATGGCTCTTTCTGCTTCCTGGCTGTCATGAGGTAAGCAGCTCTGCTCTACCTCACTCTCTTCAACATGATGCTCTGCCTTAAAACAGCCAAGAAACAAGAGTCAGCCAACTGACTGAAATCTTCAGCTGAAATAAGTCTTTTCTCCTTTAAGTTGTTTGTATGAGATATTTTGCTATAGTAGCGAACAACTGATTAACATACTGGTAGACAGTGGTCTTCAGTTCCTTTGGAAAGCAGGATAGGCCAATATCATTTATCATCTGTCCTCATCATGCACTTTCGACAGAAGGTCAAAAGGATGCAGAAGCTACCAATGTATTATCTATAGACTTTCACAGCCCCCTTCTGATCAAAATACTGCACAAAAAGACAGACCCCAGGTCTCAGATCAGGCTTTTTATTGCCTTTTTTACAAACATGTCTTAGTCAGAAAGAGATGAGAAGGGAAGAACTTGCTCTCTGGTTTTCAAACCAGCTGAAGCCGCTGAGGGCAATGGGCTTCAGTGAGTCACAAGCATCATTGCTAGGAAGGAAGACAGTCCTGTCCTTGCTCCTCTTGGCTCGCATCCATTAACCAGGGGAGATGTTTCCCACCCTTTCCCTGTGGAACCCTTGATATGCTCATTGCTTCATCAAGGGTTATCTTGGTTCCTAAGGAAAGGGAGAGGGTGCTGTTTGGTGAGAAGCCATAGGATAGGATGAGCCTTTCTCTCAAACCACTTCTCCTATGCACTACTCAGGCTCTTAAGTGCCACTCTTATCCTGTCTTTACCCCATCATTTCTTCTCAAGGACTCCTCCCTTCCCACCCTCAATGGGCCCTCTCCTTTTGATCTCCTCAGCAAGCCCTTTCCTACTTCCTTGTTTTCAGTCACCATTTGGCCCATCCTCCCAGCCCTTTGCTCTGTTTCTTTATAATCTTTGGTCCCTACCTCTCGACGTTTCTGTCCTGGCCTCTGGCTCTGACTCCGGCTCCGGCTCCGCCCAGGGCCCCGAGATCCCCGAGAGCTGCTAGAACCTCTGGAAGAGTTACTGCCAGCAGTGGAACAGGTACTAGTGTCCTGGCCGTGGGTCAGGAAGCTTGGTCTGCTGTATGGGAGCCAGGCCTCTTCTGCAGTGCAGCAGAGAAGTGCAGCTGGGCCCAGGGGGGAGGCAGAATGTCACTGCATGCCAGTGGGCTGCCCTGTCCACTCTTCCCTTTCTGGGAGTTAACTGAGGGACAGGTACTGGGTTCTGACAAGGTGGGGGCTAAAGAGAAGCAGAATACGTAGCACATGACCTTGGCATGACAGGGGCTCAGAAACAAGTGGGGAACCCCCAAACACAGAGAGTTTAGAGAAGTGAGAACAGAGCACCCAGACCCCACTATTTTCGCATCCTGGACTTCAGTGCTGGGAAAGGAAACATCTTGGGGACTCTGAGGACTTTTGCTTAGAGAGAGTGAGAAAGACAAGGGTCAACGTCAATGTTGACCAGGTACATGAAGTTGACAGGTGAGACGGGAACCATCTGGGCTACTAACAGCTTCCAGTCCCCTCCCACCGCCCTGGTCCTCCTTACCATCTGGGTGGTGCCCACGTTGGGCCCCTAGAGGCACTGCCTGCAGCACTCTCCTCTCCCCACTTTGCTCTCGCTCCAGAGAGGACATGCTGCCTGCTGTTCTCACTCCCAAAGGCCGGCTTGCCTCTTCTTCTGGTGGTGGCAAGGGTGGCGGGGGCAAGTCTAGGGAAAAACCTCTTTTTAGCAGAATGTCCTGATTTTCCTAACACTAATATTTCTCCCATCTCCATCCCTGACACCTGGAGGCAAGTAAATGGCCCAAGGTTTGATTTCACCTGCTCCATTCTCCTTTGTTTCATGCCTGTCCCCTCTCCTGTCACTATCTCCCAGGTCCAGGGCCTCCCTCACCCTCAGGACTGTGCTCCCTCCTGTAGGGAAGAGCCTTGGGTTTCTTCCGGATTCGGGCACGGGGTCCATGGAGTTGGGGGGTCATCTCCCCAGGCACCTGTCGGGTCCTCCCTGTAGTATTAGGAGATGAGAGAGAGCAGGTATGAGAGGGCACTGTAAAAGGGTGCTGAAGGTGAAGGGAGAACAGCTTTGAGGAGGTACAATGAAATGGGAGCAAGTTGAGAGACGGCAGACTCACCTGGGGCACTGCTGGCTGTACTAAGGACAGGGCTGGGGTGATAGGAGGCTGTGGGGGCAGCACTCAGGCCAACAGACCTCCCTTCCTGGCTACTCAAAGTAGGCTGGGATACACTGAGAGGGGAACTTGGCCCAAAAGGCACCCTCCTGCAATGACATGAGGTCTTAGCATTTTGTTCATTCCTTAAAACCAGGAGCCTACTATATGCCAGGTGCTGTGCTGTATGCGCAGCCTAGTATTCTAATGGACAAGACACAAACTGTTGCCCACAAAGCCACGAACTAGGGAAGCATGACTACATCCATGTCTGCAATACCTTGGAAGATTGCAGACCTACTCTACAAAGAGACAGCCTGAAGGATTAGGGAGAGTTCTGTCAGTCTCCACCTTCCTCTCCACATGACACTTCCACCTGGACACAGCCATGAGACCTCTGTCCCCACTTCATCGATCCATTCATCTACCCAGTCACCCCCTGAATAAATATATACTCAGGACCTAGAATGTGCAAGGTGTCCTATACCTCCCTACCTGGGCATCTGATGGAGATGGGGGATGTCAGTAGGGGGCTGGGGAGGGTCAGGAGGCGAGGGGGTAAGAGTGGCTGTGGACTGCTGTCCGTAGGAGGGTGTGGGAGAGGGAGTTTCCCCTCGGGATGGAGCCACCAGACGAGCTCCACTGGTGCTTGACTCGATCAAATGGCTTCTTTCAGGCATTGGTGGGCACCACTCTTCTGGCTCTGAACTGGGGTAAAAAAGGCAGAAGAGGAGGGAAGGAGTGGGTGACTTCACACCTTCTTTTGCCAGCATGTCTGCCCCCTCCCCACCCCAGGAGGTCTTGGGCTGCTCCATGTGTTACAAGCATCTGCAGCTGGGCTGATACTATCCTTACCTGCCCTCCAGCTCCTCAGGCCCCTCTGGGCAGCTCAGCTCACATGAAGGAGGAGGTGGTGGCAGGGCTTCTGACCAGCTCAGAGACGGCATCTGCACCGGTTTTCCCAGAAGCTTCACTTTGCCTCCTCTGGCTCCTGAGGAGAGGAAATAGGGGCCCACAGGGAGCATGCAGGAAAGAGCCAGAGATGAGGCAGCATGTCAGAAGGAAGTACAGGGCCAAGCCGGAGGGTGGAGGATATTGTACACAGGGCTAAAATGAGGGTGTTGGGGATTGGGATCATACCACTGTCCCCCTGGCTCCATTCTGGAGGAGCATACTGGCTCCAGGTGCCTGGGTCCCCAGAAGAATGTTGAGGGAACCCTCCATGGAAGGTCTGTAGCTCTTCCCCTACAGGGTCAATGGTACTGTAGACAGGACCCTCACCAGGGGCATTAGCACCTCGGGAAGTCTGAGCCAGGTACAGGGAGATTCCTGCTTCTGAGGAGAAGAAAGAGGGAGGCCCAGGGGAGGAGACAGGGGGCAGAAACACAAACATAGGGGACAAAAGGAAAATGGAAGGCAGAAGGAGATCCCATGGGATCAACTTCCTCCCCCACCCCAAATCTGACATGTCAAACCAAGACAAAGATTGGGTCTGGGAGTTGTTCTGTGACTCAAGTCCAAGTCCTATCCCCCATCCTCCAAGGACTAACAAACTTTAGGAAGACTAGGATTCCTTAAATCCCTTCAGTTTCCCCTAGTAGGTTGACAGAAGGAGTGAGAGGTGGATGTGGGGGAGGGCTGGGTGTAGGGAGACAGGGTAGGTGTGCCTCTGAGGGAATTAGAACTCCTCACCATTGTAGTATCTATCATCTGGGTCAGGATTGTTGGGGCAGCAGCTTCCCCGGGGTTCCTGGGCTGAGGGGCTTCGAGATGGGTGGGGCCAGGAATCTGCCAGCCATGGGTAGGCAGAAGGACCAAGGCCCATGGGTGGCCTGAGGGGGAGCAGGTGAATGTTGGGAATGGAGAGCCAAAAGAAGCCAGCAAAAGGGAAGGAGGTGGCAGGAATCAAGAGTCACAGGACAGTATGATAGTTAAGAACTGTAAGAGACTCAACACAAGAAGGCAGTGAGGCGTGGAGAGAAAGGTATGTTCTCCTTAGAAGCAGTTATCCTTAGGAGACAGGCCAAAGGAATTACCTGGGACTGGCTCCAGAGAGGCCCTCTGAGTGTGGAAAGGACACTGGGGAAGATGAGAGGGGAAATTGGTGAAAGAAGAGATGGGGAGGGTCTGAATCCCACAGGGTAGAAACTGCTTACCTGCGGGTGTATAGGCAAAGGAGGCTTCCGAAAAGGAACCCATAGGGGAAAGAAGAGGGGAAATGAGGTGAATGGTCAGAAACGCCCACCTGTTTTCCATTCCTTGGCCCTGGTCCCAGTTCTGCTCAGGCTGCATTACTGACCAATTTCATTCAAATACCTCAGGTTGGGACTCAGATTTTTTTTTTTTTTT